CTAGCATGGCATGGTGGTTAAGGATGCTGGACTTCCACATGGTCAACTGCAGTTCAAATCCCAGACCTGGAAGCTTGCTTTGTCACTTTCCCTCTCTCTCACTCTGTCCCTCTCTGGTCAAAATTAAAATAAATGAAATAAAAAATTAAAATAAATGAATAAATAATAAAGTAAGGAACTTTCTTTAAATAAAGTTAAATAATTCTTTTTTATAAAAAAATATGCTAGGGAAAAAAAAAATCTATCCTAGGGAATGGCAGGTGGTGTGGTAGTTAAGGGCACTGTACTCCCACATGTCTGACCCGGTCTGAGTCCTGGACCTGGCAACTGGCTTTTTCAGTTTTCCTCTCTCTTTCTCTCTGTACCTCTCTTGTCAAATTAAAACAAACAAACAAAGTTAAACAAAATAATTTTTTAAAAAATCTAGCCTAAAGATAGAAGCCTCATAACCGTTATTATTCATTTCATGGGACAGATTATAATGCTTTTTTTTTTTTGAGAGGTTTTTGCTATAGGGCACGTGTGCTCGCCAGAGAGAGAGAGAGAGACAAAGAGACAGAAAGTGAGAAATCACCCCCTGCCCAAGGGAATGGCCACACCGCAATCCCTTCTCCCCCATTCTCCTCAGGATCTTGGGCACGCACGCACAAGCTCCCAGCGTGAGTTTTAAGCTACCGGGTCCGGGAAGTGAACCGCAATCGACTACATGGAAGTCCAGCAACATAGCCATTACGCTAACTGCTGGTCCCAGATTATAATGCATTTTTTAATGTTTCTTTTACTTAGAAGTGTAAATTTCAGTCATTTATTCCTTTTTAATGTCTGCTTATTAAATAATGGTATTCATAAGGTGTCTTTTACTGCATTGCTAACATAAATGCCTGAGACTGGATGATTTATAAGGAAATTGAGGTTTGTTTAGCTAATAATTAGAAGGTCTAGGTCTGGGATTTGAGTTCTGATGAGGATGCAACACGGCAGAGCACAGGATCTTGAGCAGAGCAGCTGTCTGAAGTTTCTCCTTTTTCTGGTCTGTATCCATGTGGGTTCTGCTTACCTCATTTCCTCTCTTTAAACACATACCAGAACTCAATCACAGGGACCCCACCCCAACAACCTATCACATCCACCCTGGTTTATGATGAGGGAATTTAAGTTTGCACTTAACACTTTCATTGTATAATAAAATCAAATCCCAACAACCGAATTTTGCAGAAACATTCACTCACTTCCCAACAAGGCCAGATTCTAAAACATGACTCTTTGTGAGTCATACCATTATCTAACCATAACATTAGGTTTAATCTCCTTACCTTTCTCCTTATTTCCTATTATACTTTCGAGAGTGATTTCTCATGGCCTCAAATATCACCTTCAAATCAGAAAATTTAAACCTAAATTTCCAATTCTGACATCTCTGGCTCCAGATCTGAATTCCCAAATACCTGTCCAACCTGTCAGAAATCATGCTTAATGTTAGAAACAAAACTCATCTTTCCCTCCATGGGACATTATTTTCTGTATGTATACCTAAGTAAAAAACTTTCATTCAACATACAAATTAGAAATTATATTACTTCATCCTCACAATGTTTTGAGTAGATTTTATAGTATGGATGAGACAAGATTATGTGAAAGACAAAAACTAGTGTTGCAATCAGATTTGGTTCTTGTATTTACCATGTGGCTGAAGTAAACTGCTTGTTGAGCCTAGCCTCACTTTTCCTGACTTGCAGATAGAGTGGAAGTTTTATTGTTACACTTGAAAATGTGGTACCCAGCCTGGCAGCACTAGCAATTCATAGGGACTTTTAAGAAATAAAAAGTCTGACCTACCCCAAACATAATGAATCACTAAATTCATTTCAACATGATCTTTACACAAATCATTGGTACATTCAAGTTTGGAACACGCTGGTGTAGGGCAACCTTACTAATTCAAGGGTGTCACCACCTTCAAGGGAAAAGATCATTGGAGAACCAAAACAGCCTTGTCTGCAACTTACTAGAGCTACTGTTGTTGTTGCCAATACGACTTTTTATCCACTTATCACCAATTAAGTAGTTAATGTAGGTCCTTGATAAACGCATTTTGATATTACCTAGAAACCTCTGAAATGTAAGACATAAGTTAAATTTTAATCTACCTACCCCATGTTAACACCTGGAATATTTGGAAAATGTGACCAAATCTTTTATTCAAATGAGGCTGTTGAAAGACTTTATAATTTAAAACAAAATCTCCCATATGTATGCTTACACAAAAATGTTTCTAGCTTTTAGAAACAATAACTTTTACTGAGCATTCATAATGTACAGTGCACCATACTAAGTGAGCTAACTTAGAGATGCTTAGTAATATGTTAAATCCCATGCTGCTATTGACCTAAGATACTGCATTTCTAACAAGCTTCCAGGAAATGCTGATGCTTTTCTGTGGGCCAAACTTTTCAATAAAGAGTTTGTAGACCAATATGTGTGACATGCTTGTTTAATTAAGAGAGAACAAAAGTAGGGGGAGGGGAGAGCAAGACTTCCGGTTTCCCCTTCTTTGAGAATCAGCTGGTGTCAGAGGCTCAGAATCTACTGTTACATTAAAACTCAACTGGAACAAAACTATTGCCAGGAAGTTAATTGAAGCACTTAGAATTACTTCTATTGGGAACAAATCTATTTCTTAGATAGACTACCTCCTCAGTTGGAAGGTAGCATTTTTTTTTTTTTTTAAGATTTTTGTAATAGGGTGCATGTGCTCAGTGGACAGAGACAGAAAGCAACAAATCACCCTCCCTCCCCCCCCAGGAAGGCTGGTTATGCCTCCATCCCTTCTCCTCTTGGGATCTTGGGCACACATGCACATGTGCCTGGCATGAGGTTTAAGCCACTGGGTCTGGGACCTGAACCACAGTCAACTATGTGACAGTCCAGCAATGTGACCATTACACCATCTTTTGGTCCTGCATTTTTTTTTTTTTTTTAGGTTTTTGCTATAGGGTGGGTATGTGCTTGCTGGAGAGGGAGAAAAGAGAAAGCAAACCATCTCAGAGGGGAGAATGCCCACACTACAGTCCCTTTTCCTCTATTCTCTAGGGATTATAGGTACACATACATACACACATATGCCTGGCATGTTTCAAGCCACTGAGCTCAGGACTCAAACCAAGTCAGTCATTTGGGAGTCCAGTGTCTTAACCACCATGCTACATGCTGGTCCTGTAGCAATATTTTAAAACTTTAGTTAGGTTTTTTCATGTGCATGTTTCTTCATCTAGTATTTTAGTTAATTTCTTGTCTCTCTACACCCATCTCATAACATATAAAACGTTATCTTTGTGGCTGCATTTCTTAATCCACTGGCATTTATTTTTTAAGAGTTTTTGCCTTAGGGCATATGTGCACACCAGAGAGACAAGAGATAGTGAGACAGAAAGTGAAAAATCACTCCCTAGCAGGGATGGCCATGCTGCAACCCTTCTCCTGGGATCTTGGGCATGCAAACACACACACATCTGGTCTGAGTTTCAAGCCACCAGATCCAGCACCTGAACTGTGGTCAGTCATGGGAAAATCGTGATTAACCACTGTACCATCTGCTGGCCCCACTCATTGGCAATTATAATGTCCTCTGTGACCCAAAGACCACTTAAGAAAGATTGGAAGTATATACTGTCTCAGTGTTTAAACTTTATTTACTTTCCTAGGCTTTTTAGCAACATGGTCATTCGTGCTTTTTAGGAATACAATAAAGTTATTTCTGCATCCTAGTCAACAATCATTTAGAAATATTTCAGAATTTGAAAACAATGCAAATAAGGTAGCAAAGTATTACATGTTAATCACACAAATTCTTAACTGTTTTACCTATCCTGTAACTTTCCATTTACTTATTTATCAAAGATTTTAAGTGTTGAAGTCAGAGTCCAATAGTTTTTCCTACATACATTCTTTTAAACAGAAAGATTACTCTATGAATTTTAGATACATGAAATACGAATCCTAAATGCACAATATTTAAAATATGCATGTATCTTTTTACATCAGTAAAAATACATAGCTTCTAAGTGTTATATGCCATATTGTCTGTTTTATAAGTGCAAAACATCTTGTTATATGTGTGGATGCTAGTAAAAATGTTGCACTCTATTTCTATGACTTATAGTTTCATTATCTTTAAATGCTTGTTTCATACATATCAGTTAGACTGGTTTCTAAACCAATATCAAATCTTTTTAATAGGGATATTCAACCAGTACACAAGTGTAACTCATCTATACCTCTTTCAATCTACTTTATGTATCCTTAATGTTTTTATTTTGGTACACTGTTTTCACCACTTCCTCTAATCCAAAAGAATGCACATATTCTATTTTGTTAAGACATATCTCAA